GACTGTTATGTGGATAGATATACATTTATTTATTAAAAAAAGCAAGTCTAGTGTGCTGAATGTTCAGAGGTAATGTGCATTTGGTAAAAGTTTTTAATTAAATAAATTGAGCATTATAATCCTACTTATAAAATTCTCTTGTGTTCAATATTTTACTGAAATGTCATGTATTCTATTAGAAATTATTAAATACCCTGATCTGTAAAAAAGTACAAATGAAAGTAAGTTCAGTTTTTAAACAATAACATGTTTCTCCTCTCTTTCCTTTTCCTACTTCTAAACCACTATGACATGAAATGCCTGCTAACTTGGTAGATGTTCTGTGTGAAACCAGTATCATATCACCTATGGATAAAAATACGTTTAATAACAACACGGAGTTATTAAGACCTTTGTATTACATGAATATGTAATATTACATCTCTAAATTCAGATGGTATTTGCTTTACCATGGTCCTTGGATCCATAAAAGATATAAACATACATGGTAAATCAGTGTTGTCAGCTTCTATCATTGATATTCTTTCTTTAAAAGTTAGAAATTTCGACTATCTCTCCTAAAAGGAGAGATTAATACATGTCATATACTAATGTCAAGGATTAATATATATGTTAATACTAGGTCACATAGTATTTTGTCTCTATCTCTAGCAGGCTTTGAGTGCACAAGAACAGAATTTATAGACACTCTCTTAGAGAGGTAAAAGCACCTTAATAATAGAAATAAAATGACACTGTCATGGCAACATGAGTTTGCCACTGAATGAGCTTGGCATTGAATAATTCTCTATTGTCAGGCAATATTATTACAAAGCAATATAGCAGGCTAGGACATAGTTATGGATGGGAATTCTAATAATTTTAAAATCAAAATGACCCTTTCACATTCGTTTTACAATTGGAAACCCATAACTCTATTAGTGCTGGTTCTATTAACAAGTAAATATAATTTTCATAATGATGGACAGAGAAAAGTGGATACTTACTGCTCAAAGGTTATTCTACATTTTAATGAATGTAGCATTTAAATCTGATAGCAGAGTACATAAGCAGCTCACTGTTGTGGAAAGAACATGACTTTAGGGACAGCCAGATCTGTGTTCAAATTCCAGAACTGTAACTCACTAGCTATATCTGACTTTGGGTGCATTCCCTAACCTCTATTCTCAGGTATAAATCTGATATAAAATCACCACCCTTTGTTATGTGCAACAAATGATATTTGTATGAGCTGTTTAATGTTGTTCCCAGCATGTACTATGTGCTCAATAAATGGCAAATATTATAATGTACTGTTTAATATGTTGGGTTTTTTTTTTCCCAGTGTGATGCTTCTTTCCAGTTTTAATATATGTCACATTACTAGGTACTACACCTGGCTCTAGACCATACTTATTTTTCTTTTTAAAATGAAATTTTCTATTTCTGTTAACTATGTCACTCTTCTGATCTTTGATATTTTCTGCAATCTACATTTAAAAATACCAATGTATCTTCTTTTTCTTGCATGGAAATTGCATTCAACTTTAAAAGTATATCCAATTTAGGCCAGATAATATGATGAAATTCTGAAATATTGTAAATTTGTGATAAATACATTCTTAAAATTTTATATGCACAGAACATATCTTCAAAATGAAGCACTATTTTGTATTTATTATATTTTTAAAGAATGTGGGCACTTTCTTAATAGTCAAATGGAAATATATTTCAGGGAAAGCTAAATTTAGTATTATATTTCCTATGCTGTGATGGTGGTTTGTTTATTATTGTTGTTCGTTTGTTTCTTTTTGGCTGGCAGCAGTTGGTAGTAACTTATGCTGCCATGAACAACTAAGAAATAAGTCATGCACATAATTGATGAAGAACCCAATGAGCACTACAGAAGTTTTCTGCCTGTTATGTTCATTTCACCAAAAAATCCCACTAAGAAAGTGATAATGAAGTGAAAATACATTGTTTACATCTGTGGAGCAGAAAGAAAATCTCCTCTGTGTTTCTGGATAGGAGTGTTTTTTGAAACACCAGATAGAGCCTCCACAGAGACAGGCATGAAGGTGTTGAGGGTGAAAAGAATTAGAAATAATGAACAGCTGAACACAGTTCAGCTGGGCCAGGCGCTATGTTAAACTTACCTTTGATTATCTCATTTGATGTCACACAGTGAGTGGCTACTCTTATTCCCATTTTACAGATGAGGAAATTGAGGCTTTCATGTAGCCTGTGAATGGAGGTGGGTTTAACACCAGAATAGTGCAACTCCAAAGCCTGAGCTCTGCCTTCCTACCCCAGGGCTCAGAAGTATGATGGATGTCTGTGCCATAACTGCTTTAAACACTAAGCATCTTGTATGTGTGAGGCATTGGGGATGAAATGGGGAGCAAAGCCAGTCATGGTCCCTGCCCTTATAGGCTTTAGTGGAAGGAAGACAGAGTTATTAAACAAATCACTACATAAATACACGTATTAATATAAATTACAAATGGTGATACATGCTTGGATAGAGAGGTATGTAGTACTATGAGAACAGATGCATAGGAAACCCAACCTGGCCAATTCAAGATGGCATCCCTGAGGAAGGGGTACGTAGACTGCGATTGAAGAGATAAAAAGGGGTGAACTAAGCAAAAATTAGAGAGGAACTTCCCAGGCCTAGGGAAAGTATGTTAAGAACTCATGGCAGGAGGGCAATAATGTGTATTAAAAGGAGGCCAGTGGCTGGGTACAGTGGCTCACGCCTGTAATCTCAGCACTTTGGGAGGCCGAGGCAGGTGGATCCCCTGAGGTCAGGAGTTCAAGACCAGCCTGGCAACATGGTGAAACCCCATCTCTGCTAAAAATACAAAACTTAGCCAGGCATGGTGGTGGACACCTGTAATCCTAGCTACTTTAAACCTGGAAAATGAAGGTTGCAGTGAACCGAGTGTCACTGCACTCCAGCCTGGCCAACAAGAGCAAAACTCCATCTCAAAAAGAAAAAAAAAAAAAAAAAAGGGAGGCCAGTTTGGCCAAAAGGCAGGGAATGTGAGGGAGACACTGGGAGGATTGTACTGGGAGGTAACGAGACAATAACAAAAACTTTAAAGTTAGGATAATGTAGTATGATGGTGGGCGGATTAAAATATGTACAATAATTGATAACTTTTTTAGAAAAACAGGGCAACCAGTGAGAAACAAATGAAAAGAAATGTTACTCATAAGAAAAACATAATATGAAACACATAAGAATACATTTTTTAAATATCAGGACCCAAATGAAAGAAATTATGAAATTGTATTTAAAGATATGAAATTATATCTGAACAAGTAGAAACTCATGCCATGTTCTTATAGGGAAAAATTAATATCATCAGAAACTCCTTGCTTTGCTACCAATGAATGAATATTAATATAATACAACTTTACTAAAATCCCAAGGTGGGTGTTTCAGAAGTGGAAGATTATTTTAAAGTCTGTATGAAATAATGAATGCTTAAGAATATCATCAAGGAATTTCTCAAAAATAATAAATGCTTAAGAATATCATCCAGCTATTTCTGAAAACAAAAAATGTTTTAGTAAGGGAGAACTTGCTTTGCCAAATATGAAATACAACTAGTTAATTTAAAGCAATAGTAATCTAAACAGCATGGTATAACAACAGTGAAAGACAAAGAGATCAGTGAAAAATAGAGTTTGGAAATATATTTCAGAATGGAGTGTGTTTCAAAAGTATAAAAATTCACTGTGAACATCTTTATTCTCAAAACTTTAAGAGTCTGTTATTAGAGATGTGATGTTTTTGGATTTTTAGACTGTATTATTAAGGCTATATTATTTCATATGTACTTATCTCTTTAATATATTTCAAACATATTAATCATTATATTAACTTACAAATTTTATTATTTTTGAAAAAAGTAAATTTTCAAGCATCATTTATTTTGTAATTTTTAAATTATTTTTTAAAATTCTCATGGGTACATAGTAAGTGTACATTTTTTTGTGTACTTAGGTGTACGTAGTAGGGGGTACAGGAGATGTTTTGATACAAGCATACAATGTAAAATAAACCCACTGTGGAGAATGGGGCATTCACCCCCTCAAGCATTTATCCTTTGAGTTACAAATAATTCAATTACATTCTTTAAGTTATTTAAAAATATACAATTGTGTTATTATTGACTATTGTCATCGTATTGTACTATCAAATAGTAGGTCTTATTCATTCTTTCTGGTTTTTTTGTACCCATTAACCATGTTACCATGACAGTGATATTAATTTTTAACTAGCTGAAAATTAATTGTGAATATTAATTTATCAAATCCACCTTTAACTATTGAATCAAACATAAGATTGCAGGATAGGTTTTCAAAGGTTTAAGAAGTTGATAGATATGAATGCAGTAACAAATTAAATGCTTCTAAAGAGACAATATATACATGTTTCTATCAGTGTGACTTAAGATTTGTCAAATACTCTTAAAGAGCCATAACCTCTGATATAGATGAATGGCTATATGCCATAAGTTGCCAAAACATCAGCCACATAAATACAGGGTCTTTAAAGTCAGGAAATGATTTAAACAGATCAATTGTTCTCAAGGATATAATGATAAATTCATATACAAATGGATAAAATACTCAATTTCTAGAAGTATACCTTCAAATTCTTTAAAAACTCTTCTGTATTTATGTTTGCTACTATCTTGATTGTTAACCAACTATTTTATTGATTTCCCCAAAGGGAATGATATCAAATTTGTTCTACTTGTGTGAGTGAAATTTCAAATTTGAAAATAGTAACTACTGTATTGTAACTGTAGGATTTGATGATTAATGACAAGGGTAAGGTGATTCCTCAGAAAAAAAAATTTGAAACATGAACAAAGCTTAAGCCTGGAGGTGGATAAATCAGAAGCGTTTATATAATGTAAATTGTTTCCTGAATTAATCACAATGGACACTGTGCTTTGATATTAAACGTTATTTTATTTGAATGTCTCTATTTTTTTATATAGGGAAGATGTGAGAACAGCAAACGTAATTGCTGCAGAAGCTGTAACCTGCCTTGTGATTGACAGAGAGTAAGTACATTGTTTTATTATGTGAATTACACACTCATATCAGCAACACACATGAGTTCTTGGAATTAGACACTATTTTATGGAGCTATCAATACTTGTTTTATATCTTTTCATTTTTAAATGAGTTCTATATTTGATTGTCATTCCCTATTATTCTTAAAAGTGGCTGGCTCTGCCATTCTATCTTTGAGATCTTTAACAAGGTTCTTAACCACTGTGAGCTTTAGCTCAGCTCGTTTGTATACCGGGATAATGAAATATCATAGGGATATTTTAAGGATTAATGAGAACATATGAGTAAAGCATTTGTCCAAGTGTCTTTTACTCAGGAGGTACTCAACCAATGCTAGTTAGTTTTGTAAATTTTTAGAATTATTCTTCCATTTTTGTTAAGAAATGGATTGTCTTTGAGTAGTTTTAGTGATCCCCTCTATTCTCCTATCTCTAGACTTCCATAATAGAAGCATTTAGGGAAGAAATTTTGAAGAAATAATCAGTTCTGGACATCGGCATATATTTAAGGCCATTAAAATTTGCCTGATAATGTCTATCCCTGTTTCTTCTCTCAATTCTGGCTTGCTCTTTTCATTACCTGAATGCTTTATAAGTTAAACTACAAATGTCAGATTATTGATTCTCCAAGACCATGGTTAAAATGCATATGTACTTTCTGGAAGCAGTCCAACAGACTTTTCTTCCTTGTGATGTATGTGGTTAAATTCATCAAAATAGCCAAGTACCTGACCCATGAAGGACTGTAAAACATCTATTTTAGTGGAGCCATTATAACTGGAATAGGCAGTGAGTGACCACATAGAATGAACCCGAGGGGCCAGGTATGATCAGCCTAGAATGATGGAGCTGGACGCCGAGCTCAGAGGGCTCCAGATGGAAAGGAATTCTACTTGATTTAGAAATCTCACTTTTAGAGGTCCTTCTATGCTGGATTGCCAGAACCAGAGCAGAGACACAGTTGCAGATTGGTGATAATATCCATGTGTATTTCTGAAATTGTTATATTTTGTGTGGTTCCCAAAAACAATAATTACCCATTCACTCTTCTATTCAACTCACATTTTACTGAGAATCTACTATGTGCAAAGCATTGTCCTAGAAGAAGATTCAAAGGAGCAGCACAGATACTGGTTTTGGGAGCTAGCATCTAATAGAGATGTGGCCTATACAAATATAACTATGATACAAGGCAAACAACAAGTTCAGAATAAAATTTTAAGGGAATTCAGAAAAGAGCGAGTACTTTTGAGAAGAGTCAGGAAGATCTTCGTGGAAGAAAAGGTATTATTAGGTGGATGTGGAAGTATAGGAAAAGCAATATAAATATGGTGACTAGCTTAAGAAATACTCATAGGAAAGCTATCAGCTATTTACACTGGCTAAAGTGAGACTGTGTAAAGGTAGTTGGAGGAGGTGTTGTAACAAGTTCATAAGCATGCTGGCACTGGTTCACTGAGAAAATTGAATGTTGGGGTAAGGGCAGTTCTGACCATTTTATGCAGCAAAATGTTATCACTATAATAATGGATTTAATAGACTAATCTGAGAATTCAGTGTAAAACGAATTAGAGGGAGAGATTAGAGACAAAATATTTGGTTAGGAGTCTAAATTCAGTTGGTGATTATAAGACCATTTGCAAAAGGAACCCATAAGAAGCGAAGAGGTAAAACCAGAGGGTTTCATGTCTTACTGAAAGTGAAGAGCAAGGGAGAAATTAGGGATGTAGTTGGGATAGAAAAGATGTAAAAGGAAAATAGAAAAATCAGTTTGGTAGGTACAATGACATTTCACTAAGAGTGTAATGTAATGCATTGAACATACAGTATCGAACACTAAAGAATGGATGCCCTGCAGGAGACAGGAAATGTGGGACAGAAACTTTTGTTAGAATTAACTTAAAATTAACTTTAGAATTGCCTACATGTGGTTAGTCGCTGAAGCTATGAGACAGGACAGAATTGCGTGAAAGAATCAAGAAGAAAGAGTCAAGACTAGATTTGGAGAAACCCTTTCATTTAAGCATTAGTCAGGGAAAGTAAAACCAGGGAAGAATAATGAGATGTTAGAAAGCAGAGTAGTGTAGGAAACTTCAGAAAGCAAGAGGATATGTCATGAGAAAAGAGATAATCACAGTGTTACAAGCTGAGAGGCATGCAGATAGAGAAAAGGGCAATAGGCTTAGTAACCTGGGAGAAAACAGTTTTATTAAAGTGTTATGAATGGAATCCAGATTACAAAGTGTGACTAGGTGAAAAGGAAGTGAGAACACTGAGCCTACAGTATACAAGTATCCAGGAAGATGGAGCGAATGAAATACTAAACGGGATATTTGATAAATGGGGCCCCAGGGGAGGAAATTGTGGGCAAATGAGGAAGAGTTCTTGGAGAGCACTTGTGTATGTATTTTTGATTTTCAGAAAAGTGAAAAAGAAGCAAGGTAGAAAATTTGTAGAGGAATGCTGGGTTGTAGATAAGGATAGTTATGGGAACTTGGATGGACTTAATCTTGCCTCTTTTAAAGCATGAAGCGAGGAAATCTAGTGAGGGGAGGAATGAGACTGAGGCTTTGCCCTAATCCTAATTTTCTCTCCTTATCCAAACATAGGCATATACAGTGTACACTAACAAGTGAATGGATGTGGTCAAAGCTCAATACTTGAATCCTGACTGCACCATTTTACAAGAATATGGGTAAATTACTTAAATTCTGAGTCTCAGTTTTCCTGTCTGCAAAATGGAATAACATTATCAAAATCATAAAATCGATTTGAAAATCAAATGATTTAACATAGGTAAATGTCCATGCACAACACAATACATGAAGTGAGCACTAAATAAATATGCCCTTCCTCTTCTTACAGAAGGCGCAGGATTCCCTTGCGTTTAGCCGTGTTTCTCTCTACTCAGCGTTGGTTTATCTTCAGGGTTATATACGGAGAAGACACCTTGAGAGAGGTCTACCTTAAGCACAAATACAGAAAAATCAGCTTGAGTCGAAGAATTCAAAAAGTGCATTTGTATACTCTTAGCAGAGAAGTTGGGCTTCTGACCAAATGTTGAATTCACAGCTTTGTTTTTTTAAAAATGAAACTGTAACTGAAGGATCCTGTCAAAAGCCTGCTGCTGATACCTAATTTATGGCCAATTAGAAGAGCACCAGGGCTTCATCCCATGCAAACAGATGGCAGACATTAGCACTGTCAACAAAAGTAGCTTCCTTCACAAATTTACAAGCGAGGTACCATGTTCCATAAGCCAGTGATTACGCTTTATCATTCTAGAGGGAGAGCAAAAGAACATTATTGTAACTAATCATGCATGGTCAGAATTTTTTTAAGTGCTCATTGACAAACCAGAAGATGATAAACAGATACCTGGTGTCCTCAAAGGCATTATCTGAATATTGGTTTCTTGCAGTTTACTAATATCTTAATATGTATCTGTGGTGATGTCAAAATTTATGAATATTGTATAAAAAGAATATTAGTTTAACAGAACCATCCATTAATAAATTCCTTAAATATATAAGAAACAATTAAGTACCTTTGGTACCTCTTATTTTGGAATCTGTGAAAAGAAATAAATATAAAACTAAGTTTAGCCATTGCTTAGTATTCATGAGGGATTGGTTCAAGGACCCCCTTTACATACCAAAATCCACAGATGCTGAAGTCCCTCATATAAAATGACATAATATTTGCATATAACCTATGCATGTCTTCCCTGTACTTTAAAATACATCTAGGTTACTTATAATACCTAGTAAAACTAAGTGCTATGTAAAAACTTGTTATACTACATTGTTTGGGAAATTACAAGTAAAAATTTCTATGCATGTTCAGTAAAGATGTAACCAATGTCTATTTTAGCTAAATATTTTTGATCTACAGTTAGTTGAATCCACAGATACAGAATGCATGAATACGGAAGGCTGACTGTATACTTTTGTATTCTGTAATCAGTTATGCAATGTCTGCTTATTCACTGTTATGGGAAACTGTTTAAGCTAAAAGTTCTATTAAGATAATCGATTTTTTGACACATTGAGGATCATTTCGATAATTGTTCAAAGACAGCTACTTGTAATTATTAGTAAACCTTAAAAAGGTATATATTTTTCCCCAGAAAATTAAGATTTAAATTATCAGAGTCCTAACTCTATCCCTGATTCACTGTGTAGCCTCTGAGATACAGCCATACTGGTTATGAAAATTGAAACATTTTCATGCTGGATGGTAAATAGCACTGGTCTGAGATCCCTGCATGTCTCTCCCAGTCCTCTGCTGCCCCAGTTGTCTGATTGCCCTCTACTCCTAGGACATTCTAGATCCTTCTTTAATCCAGCAAGTAAGGAGGTGACATCTGGCAAAAACCAGGACCATTGTCCATTTTTGTTGGTCAGTTCCTGGGCCCTACTGGCCACTAATTATCTTCCCTTTCACCTCTGATAATGTCAAGCTAAAATATAATATCCTATTACCAATTGTTTTCATGCTTTTGCTTTACCAGGCCCATTGTTTAAATGAAATCAGTTAGAAAGAAAACAGAGGAACTTTTTTGGCTGTCATGGGTGTAAGACTCCTAAAGAATCCAGTGGTCTTCATTCTTTCCCTCAGAATCACTCCAGGTGATTCTTGAGGCCCTCATGGGAACCTAGAAGACACTAAGAATGAAATGATTTATATAGCATATATGCCTGATGATGTCCCTACCATCAGTGACACTCTGTGATGTTTTCTTATACCATGGGGGCAGTTTATTTTTATTGGGACAGTCTAGAAAGTAGAAACCAAGAACTAGCCCAGAATAAATGCAATGTGATAGAGCATAAAAATTATGAAATTAGAAGGAAATGTCAAGCAAAAGATTGTATGGCATTGCAAGTAGCAGTCTCTGAAACTGAGATGTCTCTAGATATCAGGAAAGTCTGGGTTACCATGTTCAAGTTTTTGACCTCCCAAAACTATAGTCACCTGACATAGTC